TCCCTTCGTGAAGCCTCGAGTGTTTACTAGATGTGCGGTATTAGTATATATAAGACCGCCAAGATGTGACGGCAACAATGGAATTGAATTGCAGACAATGATAAAGACGACAATTGAGTCAAGCGCGTGAATCGTTGGTTTGTTGTGAATTATAGCGTTTGTTTAAGTTATAGCGTGACTGTGGAAATCAAGTGTATTGCAAAGTTGTATTGAGAAAGAATAAACTAGTTTTATTTCAGAAAGGACTTGTATCGCTAAAGTTTCTTCGGAAATAATTTTTACAGAAAATTAACAAACGAACAGAGACGTAACAATATAATTTGTCATTCCTGTATCTTGTATTTTTTAAGTACAGGATGGCAGTAACGTGTTTGTTGGGGAAAGCATTCTGTCAAAATACTCCGTGGAAATTATTCAAGCGAGAAAAATAGTTTAATCAAGGTTTACGCATACAAAATGAGCTTGACAGCTACCGGAATAATCTAAATTGAGAGATGTTATTGAAGCAAAAATCGATATGTTCTCAGAATAACTGCAACGCTTGTCTTGCCTTGTCCATATGATGTTAGCGTGCTGTGCCTCGTGAGATGTAATTTTCTTCAAATGGAACACAAATTTGCTGCTTTCATCTACTTTCTTTTTAACCTGTATGAGACTAATTACCAATTTAGCAGTTTGCTACTGTACTAAGATCTACTTCACGGCTAAGCAAACATATTTCTTATAAGTTAGAGAAATTTACCAACTTAATAAAAACGTTCTTTGGTATTAACAATATGCAACTCGAGCGTAGAGTAGGCGGAGATGCTCATTATTACTGAAAATTAGGCCTGCATTCTGTTGTCAAGTAAGCTTCAATTTTTTCTTTTTTACTAAAAATTTTAGTATAGTAAAAATAAACGAATTTTGTATTTCTTTGTGCAAACTATTTTCAAGTGATTACGAAAACGTTATAATTAAATTAATTTGATAATCTAGTAAAATTATATTGTACTAGATGCTTAAAGCTAGGTCACAAAACATTTTTATATCAGAAATTTGTTAACAAGCTTTTGAGCTGTTAGTAATTACTTAAATTAGACCACGATATGTGGAACGTTTTGAAATAATCTCCCAAAAAGCAGCAAAAATCGTCACAAATTATTGATACGTGATTTTGCTAGGTGTCTGGACAGGTTAACATTTAAATATTTTTTATTTTCTAGGATGATCATATATGATTATTTTATTATTAATGTTAGAACTCTGTGGATAATCTCGCCGAAAAACAAATATAACTACTTCTGTTAGATACAACAGCCCTTGATCCCTAGATCTATGTTATCTCTCTGGGAATGATAGAAAGCTTTAAAACTAAGCTCTTTCGTTAAACAATGTCTTTTGTACAGAAAAAATCATTATTTGTAATAAAATATTTTTGCCAAAAATTAATGATTCAATAAAGAAAGATGAGTATTGAGTACTACATGTTATCTTCATTTCTTTTAATAAAAACATTGCATGCAAAGTAACATAACAAATTAACAACAAAATAGATAGACGGATATTAACTTTTTTCTGTTGCCGAGCCGGCATGGCTAGGTGGTTAGGGTGTTCGACTCGCAATCTGCGAATCGTGGGTTCGAATCCCCGTCACACCAAACATGCTCGCCCTTTCAGCCGTGGGGGCGTTATAATGTGACGGTCGTGGGTCAAAGGACTTATAACCAGGAAAGAGAGTTAGGCACTGAGGAGTGATAGCTGTTTGAGAGAATTGTTGAGCGTAGGAGAAGTGCACTCTTTCAAATCAGATTTTTGATGATGATGCAAAGGTCCATAACACCTACCTCACTGTGGCCAATAACTCACAATGGAAAGACTTTGGCCAGTATCACAAGTCCCTGTGGGTGAAGCCAAATAGATTTCACCCTCAATGTTCAATGGTTCACCAAAGAAAAATTTGGACTGTTTCCTGAATCATTTCAGGCAGGTAATTCGCTAGAATAGCTGGTCTCCAGAGCAGACAGTCCAACACCTGATCCCGAGTTTAGATGGTCCAATCCTGAGTTCCATCAAGTGTTTGGACAGGACTCAACGAGAAGACTTGGACACAGTTGTGTCAAACGTTCGACCCACTGTAGAATTCATTGATCCATTAGGCTGTGTGAGGATCTGGTCACTTACATGTATTATCTGCACAATAAAGCTTACTTTGCAGTGGCTTTAGAGGATCACACTGATATTCTCATGAATACACTTATCAAGAAACTTCTGTGTGTGAGGAACATCATCTTCACTCTAACAAAGACAGCTTCCTTCATGAGCAGGTACACCTTAGATAAACAGTCCAACTCAGGTACCACCACCACACCACGCTTGAGCCATGCAGAGGGTTAACCAACTACCCACACATCCCAGTACTGCAATGTAACTAAACTTGTTTTCAGTGAAAAGGTAGGGTTATCCTGGTTTTCCACTGCTTACATGGCAGTCTATGATAACTCCACTTGGACATTAAATGGAATGAGAGCTTGTTGGTAGGGTTAGTGTTTCCGACCAATAGCTCAGCAGGTGCCAAAGAACCAGCAGTGTCCACACTTTGCCGAGCAGCAGAATAGGCAAAGTTGAGTATACCAATGTATTTGTTGATCCAGATGACAACATAGGTAGAGGTGACACGTATAAAATCAAGCACCCACAGCTCCAATATCCCTGAAACATTAGAGATGTGACCAGTTCCAAGATATATGGATATTGAAGGATGAAGTCATACAACCTTCAGGGAGTACTTGATCATCTTCAGTAGTGATTGTCAGATTGAACATTTTAGTCTGCAGCTGATAGCCTAAAATGGTATTCCAGTGGACAAATAAAATAGGCTTGAAACTGAAGCCAGGAAAATGAACATTCATGTCCACAAAAGTGGAAATTCTTGGTCATATTACAAATAGAGCTAGAGTCCTTACAGACCCTGCTAAAATAGCAGTGAGAAGAGACTGGCTTCAACCTGTGACCAAACAAGAAGTCTGCAGTTTCCTTGGTCTTGCATCGTGTTACTGACAGTTTGTGGCCAACTTCTTCATGGTAGAAGCATCATTGTCTGCTCTAACTAAAACTGAGATGCACATTGGAAGGAGCAAGTAATCGGAACAAGCATTCCAATCCCTGAAACTTGCTTCAGTAGAGGAATATAAACTACAAAAAAAGCAAATTCCTATTGGACATTGATAACAGAAATAATGGAACTAGATTAGTGTTATGGAAGTTGCAGTATGTAGTAGAACATGTAACCACATATGCTAGTTTTACACTCATGGCTCCTGAATGGAGATACTGTATGGTGAAAAAAAAGAACTGCTTGCAGCTGTAGTCTTTGTAAATATTATTGCCACTAGTTGTATGGCAGGAGATTCACTGTTTGTGTGGACTATGCTTCGCTGAAATAGTTAATTAACTTTAAAAATCTGTAAGGGATGATAGCAGGTTAGATAACAATGTTGCAAAAGTATGAATTTGTCCTGCAACATGGAAATACAGACAGATATCTAACCAAACAGTAAGACCCTGTCTGTTTGTGGGATGTCCTGATCCTGAACACCATTTGAAAGGTGAAACCATTTCTTGCATATTAACACCAAGTAATGCAGTAGGAGATTCTACTAGTGGATGGATGTCATGATTAACCTTATGGGAGCTATGGGAAGAAAAATTAAAAAACCCAAATTTAGCATGGGTGCTCTTTCCTTGGAGCAAAGTAAATCCTGGCCAGCACAAACAATGGAAGAATTCAGCATGGATACATATAATCTGTGGCACTTCTGTGGTCAGTTATAAGTGCAGGAAGGTGTGCTTTATAATCACTATAAACCATAGAGTGTTGTTCTCAGACTGTGCTGCAGCTAGTGGTTCTTAGAGCTCTAAGGCAAGAGATTATTTAGATTTTGGCATAACACAAAGATAAGAGGATATCAAAGTGTTATATGCACTGGTATTAACATTCAGTGGTAGCTCTTCCGGCTGCAGTTGAGTTAAGAATTTTGACACTGATTTGAATATGTACATAGTGTTCTTGCCCAAAGAAAGAACCAGCCAAGGCAGGGTAAACTCCAACAGATAATTATTGGATCTGTGCTATAGAGGATAGCTCTGAATAATTTTGTTTCACTCTCAGAGACTGGGAGAGGTCATCACTGCATTCTCACTTTCATCAACTACTTCACAAAATGGGTCAAGGCTTATCCATTGATAAATACATTGGCACAGTCCAGAGCTTATTTGTTGGTAAAGCATTGAATAGCATGGCTCAGACCACGAACTTAGCATATATCAGGAAGATATTTTTTCAGCCAATTTGTTCTCTCAATTATGTAAAGTGTTGGATCTGGTAAAGACTTCCACATCACCTTATCAACACCAGTCTCATAGTTTAGCAGAACAGGTAAGACAAACTACCAAGAAATATAATGGCATGTAGAGCAACTGAACAGTAGTCTATGGACTGTTTGCTGAACATGCTCATATTTGTTTTAGAAATCTTGCTCCCTGTTTATATATGTCCACTCCCTCGAACAGACGTCCCACAGTGTCCACAGGAATATGTGGAGTGGTTAAGGTCTGCATCATATGATGTACCCGAGTTTGCCTGTTAACAACATCGGAAATCTTCCCAGTGTCAGAGAAAGGACTATGACAAGACAGAAACGAATGGATATAGAAGGAGTAGGAAGATTAGGTCTCACTGTGGTATGTGCCAACAGCGTGGAAGCAGTTTAGATCCAGCTGATTACGTCTGTTCATCATAATCCAATAAATTGGTCTATTGGTTTACAGTGGATGTGAGGCGCAAGTATGCAAGACATGTAAAAGTGTGTGGAGCACAATGAGAAACTATATTTATGCCTCACACATAAACTTCTCAGAAACTGGCTAAACCAGGAATCAGAGGTGGAAATTGAAGATGATGAGGATGTTGCCTCAAGTTATGTTGTCTCAACTAAAGAGGAGTAAAGAGCTTAAAGTACTTATCTGAATGTCTGTGATGAACTAGATGAGGAAACATGGAGTTAGAGGCAGTCGGCCAAACCACCACCATGACTGATACTGGTAAGAGTAGCTGATCATCTAGAGCAGTGGTTCTCAACCTTTCCTGGCTACTGTACTCCTTTCAATAATCTTTTTGCCTTAGTGTATCCCACTATTATCTTGCTGATAAAGTAATTATACTCAAAATCAGTCATAACCTTATAAACGTGATACAACCCATTTTACTTAAAAATTACTTAATTTGTAAGTTTACTGTATAATGCAAAATACAAATCTTTAAAAAATAAGTCATCATTAATATTATAAATACTGTAATTACATTTCAGTATAATACTTGATCCTGTTTTTCACTTGCAAGTCTTGGCATTCTGAGAGCCAGTGAAGAAACAGTAACAATTAAGTTTTTTCCGCATTGAGTCATTTCCTTAACTTTGACATGATGGGAGTCATTGCAGAAAAGGACAATTCACGAAGATATGTTGGCCCAAATGACAGCATTACTTCCAAGGCCTAAGCACCAGGACTGAGTGCCAGCCAGCAGACCTCAATATGAAGCAACAAATAATGTTGTTCTGCTCTGGCTCCTCATACAGAATGTGAAACAAATAATCTAAATGCTTCAAGTACACTCTGGAAGGCTTCTGTGTATTCCCTGGGATACATATTGTGACAGATTTACTATTATACATCTAATTTAATATCGATGTTTGTTTAAGTTAAATGTATATTTAGAAATGTACATAACTTATACTGTTAAATCTGTATTGCGAAATTCCCGCCTATTCGCTAAAGTTATTGTAAGAATCAACAATACACGTGTACCTA